AAAATAATTTTTTATTTTTTAATATAAATTTATAATTAAAAAATACAATAAATACATCTAAAAGCACACTTAAAAAGAAAGGCCTTATTACATTTCCAATTGAATGGTACTAGTATTAGAAGAATTGCAGTTACATCTAACATGTCTTGGGGAGAGGAAAATTCATAGCACATCACAATTATTACTTATTAAATATGAATTAGGACCTATTTATAGACAATATACAGTAGCATGTGGTATGATTTAGTCTTTTTTTTTTTTAACCTTCAATCAATAAATTGTATGGACGGTTAAAACAATAAATTGTATGATTATTGAAACAGTAAAGTTTAGTTTAACAACACTACTTTTGTAATTGTAGTGGTTGTTTTTTTTTTAATATCTTAAAAATATATAAAATATATTATATTTAATATTTATTTTAATTAATATTTTATATATTTTAAAATAATAAAAATATAAAAATTAAAAATTAAAATACTAAAAAGTGTCTTTAAACTAATCCTAAATCGGTGAACTAACATGGAGTAAAAATTATTAATAACTTAAATAATTCAATAGTAATTTTTTTTATTAAAAAAAAGATCTTGAATTTAAGTTTTATGACATGAAAGTAGAATGAAAAAGAATTATTCTTACTGTGTAACCAATATATAAAAAAAAAAACACAGCAAAAATTTTAAGGTTAAATATCCTTTTTGGTCCCTCTACTATAGGAAAAAACCCTTTTTTTGGACCCTGTACCGAAAATTTTTTTTTAATTTTAATTACTGAAATACCTTCATCTTCTTCCCCGGCTTCTCCTTCCTCCAACCTTTTTTTTTTCTTTTTTTTCTTTTACCTCCAAGCAAACCCAAGAGCCTGAGTTCGCAAAACCTAAAAGGCAGCCATAACGAACAAACAGGGCATTACATATCTAGAAAAAACACAAAACATCGAATTACATCAGGCAGAACTCTCTCCTGCTACAATTAAACACCATTCGACCTCATCACACGCAGCTCAATACTCAATTCATGATCATGCACTTAACTTCAAATTGTATATCAAAATTTCGAACAGCGTCAATAAAATTAATAGATATGAAGAAACTGAAACATGCCATTCTGGAGATAAGGCCCGTATTCAGTAGCGGAAAGGTGCATCTTGATGTCGTCGAGGGTCTCGCACTGGCCGAGGTTGTTGCAATTGGCGGCAGTGATGAGGCCAGCTCCTGGGTGCGAACCCACGAGCTGGGTTCGTGAGGAACCCAAGCTGCCGGGCGTGAACCTGCGAGCTGGGTTCCTCACGATCCCAGCTTGTGGGTTCGCACCTCGCAAACCCAGGCTCCTGGGTGCGAACCCACGAGCTGGGTTCGCGAGGAA